AGTCCGTTCCGATTGATGTTCGTACTGTGTTCTTGACTAGAAATTGTTTGGTAAAGCAGCATTGACAACATTGAGCTGATCTGTCAATTTGTCAATAGTTTGTTGCATGGCAGTCACCCTGTCTGCCTCTTGTGCCCTATAGGCTAAATCCTCGGTGCGCTCTGGTTGGAATCCCTCGAATTTATCAAAAATTTCGGCTGCCTCTGTGGCTGCCGTCTGCCGGTCTCCCTCGGAGTCGCGACTGATGTTTTCTATGTCAGCTTCGGCCTGGAGTACTTTGCGGTCTAGGTCGTCCAATCTTTGCACTAGGCTGGTTCTTAGTTTAGGCACCGTATCCACGATGGGCCGTAATACCTCAACCGTCTCTTCAAGGGCCGCAATGCGGTCCCCATGATTCACCATGGTCAGAAATAGTGCTAATGTCAATGCGTTCCCTCGACCGATGTCGAGCCTAGGCTCTGATACCAACTGTTACGCGGCGCCTTCCTGAGATTCCTTGGAAGGGCGATGTAAGGCTAAGCAACTGATGTCAGTGCAGTTACTGTCTGCCAACTGAGGTCCCCTCCGTACGCTAGACTAGATTGTCAGTGCCGTACGGGAAAACCAATGTCAAGAGCAATTGAGAGAACATAAATGAGAATTGAGAATGAAAGAAAGCTTGATTGCATTAATGAAAGCTATTACAGAAAAGCAACACGGTGTCGAGGGGGAGAGACACCAGTACAGAGAAGTGATTGCTTGCTAGAAAGTTTGATTGCTTGATCCCCCCTAATAATGCTTAAAAAAATAATCCAAAACTACAAGACTAGACTTGACTAAGCTAGAGAAACATAATGAAAGTACATGAAATAAAACTACTCTATATTTACAATGAAAATGACTTAGTTTTCTATAAGGCAGCAGCAGGTCCGTTGTCAGCAGCAGTGTCTTTGGCATCACGGTCTGCGCGCGCGGCGCTGTTGGCATCTGCCTGCGGCTTGGCGCTGGCGAGGGATATCGGTGGGGCGACAGAGGCACCTGCGCGCTTGTCACTTAGCGCGGCCAAGATCACGGGGCCGTCTGTGGCGCTAGGCATTGGGAGGCTTGCTAGGACGCCACGGGGCATGCCCAAGGGGTCATGGGGTATGGCTGGAAAGCCGCCCATGACATTAGTTATGAAAGACTAGAACCAATTACCTAATTAAATATGTTGAATATCATATATTTGAATGTGTGCTCAAGATGATGTCCATGGTAACAGAGGTGATAAGTGGTGTGCCATTCTTTTACTTACTTGAGCGGCTCAACTGCCGAATTGGGTTGCGGGAATTGGGGAAAGGCCGAGCTCATTAGTGATTAAATTGTTGGCCTAATTCCGATAAACATGTAAGTTAGCTCTACTTTATAAATTAATATAACTTCTAATGGCTTCCATAATACCTACGACATTCATAATAACCTCCATAATTCTGACCTTACAATAATCTCAAAGTATAGAAAGAATAATGGATACCGTTAGAATGCTTTACGCGCGTTTTTAAATTTATTATCGTGATTATGTACACGTTCGCGTGACATAATTATGATTCCTAAAATAAATCGAGGTACGCATTCGCGTGACCTTGACCAAACAATCGTAATAATTAATAAAGTGTGACTAATTGTGTACACGTACGCGTGACATGATTCTTGATACGTCAAACGAGACGAGTACACGTACACGTTACTCTTTTTCAAAGATAACTCCATAAAACGCCATAGTTAACGGTAAAAGGTAAAAAATACATAAGTTCTAAAATATGTAATTAAGCATTTAATTAAGCCAAGTAAGATTAAAGCGACCGTGCTAGAACTACGAAACCCGGGAATGCCCAACACGTTCTCCCAGATTAACAGAATGCTTCGTTCACTTTGGATTTTGGACCATTTATTTGCTCGCCGCTTTTACCTACGGTATTAAGGAATTAACCAGTTTTTATAAGGTATTTAAAGTTTAGTCAGATGAGGGGCAAATCTTCAAAATACTTCTTCTTGCAACTCAACTTAAAAACAATATCTGCAAATCAGTATGTAAATCCCGAGTGTTTGTAATTTGTATTTGAACTAAACATGGATGAAGCTCCTGTAACACCAATATAATTGCGGTGCCTCCTTTTTTTTTTTCTTAAAAAGGCATATGAAATTCGATTTTACATACTGATTAACTGTTTTTTATTTTAAAAAAAAAATTGAGTTTCAAATTTTCAATCATACAAAACTTTTTAGCCATGTGGAGGCAAACTTCAGACTGAGTTCTAAAGGCTTGGCCAGTTCCTAACCTCATAACCTTATAAGGAAGTTTTCAAATTTCAGCTCGTAAGTTTGAAAGTAAAAACTGGCCAACATAACTTCAGAAATTCTTCAGTAGTCTTTGGCAATTCAAATTAATTGGGATTTTAACACAGTATAATTAGTAATCTATTAAAATAATAATCGAAAAATATACATTTTACTATATTAATATTATCGCATATTTGACTAGCGACTGTAATTATTCTTGGTGACCGACCAAATTTAGACTGAAGTTCCAAACTTCAGCCCCATGAATGAAAACTCAATTCTGATGTCTGAAATTTGATCTTAATGCAGCTGGATTTTAAATACTTTATAAATTTTAGCTATTCTTTAAATAACAGTTCTCGAAAGACTATTTGTGTACTTGCCCCAATTTGGACCTAAGGTCATTTTATCGTAGACGAATTTATAATTTAAAATAGGAATTTTTACCTCCTATAGCAAAGGTTAACACCTTATTTATTTTAAAGAAATACCATTTAAATAAATTATATTCTATAGATACCTTTTATGGTTTATAGCAAAATTTCTAATTTTGGTTATCTCCTACACTTTAGCCACTAAACACGCCTCTCTCCCTTTTCAGATTTTTCTCTCTCATAGTTACCGTATTTCATAAAAACTTCTCAATACACGTTCTTCCTCTCTCTCTATTTTGATACAATCTATTCTCTTTTCCATTACCTATAAACACGCTCAAAATCAGAGAAACCTCCTCACCCACACCGCTGCTTCCTCCTTCCCCAATCTCGGCTAAACCCTAATTTCCTCTGGATTTTTGTCAATTGTTTCTATAATTAGTGTGGTAAGTATTTAATTTTTTTGATTTTTGCTATTTTTGCTTATTCTCAACATCTCTACTCACCAAGTTTTCTCTAATCAACAGTATCCAAGCGTATCCTCACAATGTCTGAGAATACACCCCGCAAGTTGATTACCAGAGGTATACCTCTTAAAATTCTCACTTTTGATGGGCCCTGTTTCTCCTTGCAAATCACTCAAGGGGAATTGGATGCAGGTTTAGCCAAAAATATGGCATTGGAGAAGAGAACAAAATCTCGCCATGACAATTTCAAAGAAACCCAAGTCGAGAAATCATTGAAGGAAACAAGACTTCCCTTTGCGGAAAAGAGGAAAAAACATATTTCTGAAGCTTCATCTGTCAAGGGGAAGGAGGTTGAAGCAAGTAAAAGCTCGGATACACTGGAAGAAAAGGTAATTTCTGATATATTCATATTTATTGTTTGATGTATTCATCTGTATTTATATGTATAAACATGTTACTTCAATGTTTTTTATGTATATAAATACATGTACATATATTTAGATTTATGCAAAAACTATATTATATGTATTTTTGTACTTACAGAAATTTACATATACAAATATGTATATGTATTCTGATGTATTCAAATTGACTTTTATTTAATTGTTTCTTGAATAATGCATTTAGATTTATTTGGATGTATTCAAATAGTTCTTTCACTATTTTTACCTTAATAGACTGACCTTTTCATACTTCATACAGTTGTATTTATAAGGATTTTCAAAGTTCCCACCACTGTTTTATTCTAATTGCAATGTCTTTATTTGTTGTATGCGTATGTATTATATACGTACATATATTTATATCACCGACATCTTACCCCTGTTTATTTTTGTAGTTTGTATTTAGTTGTATTCATATGTATTCATATCAGTTGTACTATGAAGTATGTCTTGTATTCAGTTGTATTTACATGTATTTATTCATGTTAAATGCAGGAAATTAAGCTATTTGTGAAAATAGCTATTTGTGCTCTCCTCTGGGACTATGCTATGCGGAAGATAGACGCAGATGCCATAAGTGAGAATGAAGCACCCTCAAAGATTGCTAGGCAAATTACGGAGTCAGATTCAAAGTTGCAGGTAGTGTTAGAGTAGTTTAGGTGAATATAGTTTTGGAATGGTTGTTTTAGGTGAATACTGTTTTTTTGAATAGCTTTTTGGTGAAGATGGTATTCAGTTAGAAAAAACAATGTTTTAATCACTTTATCAACAGTGTTCATATATGACAATTGCAACTTTTCAATCTATGTTTCATTGTTTTGTTCGTAAGTATTCATGCTTAATCTACAGTTTCTACTCATATGTATCTTACAGGATATATTCATACGTATTCAGCAGGGCGTATAAATATGTATTAATATTCAGTCACTTGGCTTATATATCAAAGTCAGAAACTGTATGCTTCTGGTTTATACGTATGTACTCAACTTGATGTATTTATTTTACTTAAGCAGGTTATATTCATACTTATACAAATCTATAAGTAATTGTATTTATTTTGTTTGATTTGTATAGTCAAGGCAGACACAATGTATAAGACCATTTGTATTTTTGTACGTATTCAACATTGTATATTAGTACGTAATCAGCTCCAGTCGCGTGCATTGTATATCCAATTAATAGACTTAATAATACAATATCTATAATTACATATTCAGCAGATTGTATATGTATTTATTGAAATTATTATATTATATCTGACTATTTAGTTGTATTCGGATGTATTTTGATTAGTTATGTATATACAACTCAGGCACTGTCTATAAAAAATTGTTTAAGTATATGTTGACAAGGCTGTATTCGAATGTATTCAACACAATACTACAACTAAATATATCCAGAATCTATTCACGAAAAGGTTCAAAATTTATTACTTCACAATGTCATTGGAGCACTAATACATGTCAGAGTGTTAACTAAATCATACGTGGAGCATTTCAACACGTTCGCTTATTATGTCCTCCCTGCCCACAAATGCTACATGAATGTTGATTTTTCGGCTGCAGCAATTCACTGAGAGGTTTATCGCCCTTCTTCTTTGGCCTTCCAGGAGGTCTTTTCCATTTGGGTGGTAATACAACATCCTCTGCGACATGTGCTGGTATATTCCAGTCATTTCTGTCCGGTAGCGGGTACACAGGCACATCGTATGTCATCACAACTGAATTTGGTTTGTAATAATTAGAGCAATAATCTTCTGGCATTAGAAACTTGCTCTTCAGTACAGCCCAAGCATGTGGGCATGGTAATTCATCAATTTGGAACCTCCCACAAACGCATTTTCTCTCTAACAGGCAGACGGTGTAATACCTCCCTCCATTGTTAACCGTATGTAAGTATTCAGTCGATGGTACCACCTACATTTAAACATAGACCTATAAGTTTTGAGCACATATAAATGAATTTTTGTATGTAAAATGCAGAATTATTCAGTTAAATACAACTGAAATGTTTGAATACAGAAGAATACATCATAAATGTAGACCGACAGACTATAAACTATAATTAAGTCTTAGCTTATGAATACAATGACATACATCAAACATCTGCTAAACTTTAGGCAGCTGAAAAGAAACACAAAAAATTATAAGGCTACTGCATGACAATACAACTGAATACGTCTATCTAAAAAATTTTGTATAACTTATTTCAGAAAACAATTAAGCTTTCTAAAGAAATAGCTTAATATATGATACAATGACATTAAAATAAAACTTACAGTCATGCGTGTAGACATTGCCTCATTCAAAGTCAGCATCTCCTGATATTTTTTTTCAAGCGTTGTGTATGTCTGTGTAGCTTCTTTGCGATTATTGCAATTCTAACGTCCAAACATCTTCCTAACTTCTTCGAGGAAGTCGTATATTGGTAATTCCCTTGCTAACACTAGTGCGGCATTAATTGACTCAGCAATATTTGACGTCATGGTCCATCCCCTATTAACAGGTGCATACAACCTAGCCCACTTTTCGTATCTAGCTAACTCCAAGTATTCTTTCACCCTAATATCTACCTTCTCCACCTTCTCCATCAGACTGTCAAATTCAGCTTGTGTGTATGCTTTTTCCATCGAGAAGTATATCTCGCTCAACTTTACATGGCTCTTTTTGAATTTCTTATATACGTTGTTCCATAGATGCCATATACAGGCAAAATACGGTACATCTGATACACTCTCGATACAGATTTAATGATACTCTCATTTCCATCTGAAACGATGCACATGTTTTCCCTATCACCGTATGCTATCTTGAATTGCTCAAAGAACCACGTCCAAGCAGCATCATTCTCTAAATCAATAACACCATATGCTAGTGGCATTATATGACCTGTAAAGGTATTGAATACATATTTTTAAAACATGTATTTCAATCTTTAAAATATTAACAAAATTTATTATAATGCACGTACTCACCTGCACCATCCAACGTGCTTGCCGAGACGAATGTCCCGGTGTAGTAAGATTTTAGGTGACTTCCATCCACAACCACAATGGATCTACAATGATCAAACCCCTTTATAAAGGCATACAAAGATATATACACATACATGAACTCATTTTTGGGCGATTTTACCATTCTGATGTGCGAACCTGGATATGTCATATCCATTGTATTTAAGTATCCTGGTAATTTTTTGTATGAATCAGCCGGTTCACCTCTCAAAAAATTCATTGCCTTTTCTTTAGCCCGCCACGCCAACATGTAGCTAACATCTACACCTAAATCTGATTTCACATCATCAATAATATCCTTTGGGGTGTATTTCCTCTTATGATTAGTAAGCTTAGGCCTAATCATACCACCTATAAGGCTGCTACTTGCCTGTCGCTGCTCATACACCTTGTCCTTCAGCGGACATGTATGGTTATCAATGAACTCTCTCACTTTGAATAGTTCAGATTTGTTAATGCTCGAAGCCTTAAACCTCCATTCACAATCTTCTGACATACATAATAATGCATAGCTGCAAAGAATTTATCATTATACATATGATTAGCATAAATGTTTAGAAAAAATGCACTCATATACACATGAATACATTCTGACATCTATATATATAAATGTTTATACAACTGAATACAATTATATAAAATGGTATACATTTAAATATAACTGAATACAATTATAGTTATATGCATACACTTAAATACACATGAATACATTCTTACACTGATATATAAAATTTTATACAACTGAATACAAATATATAAAATGGTATACATTAAAAAATAACTGAATACAATTATAGTTATATGCATATACTTAAATACAAATAGTAAACAAAATAGGAAAATAATGAGAGCCATTGTAATGTAATTATATCAGTAAAATACATACGAATACATGTATTTAAAGACCATAAACAAACAGTTAACCACATCAGTGAAGATCAAGTGAAAATCCACAAATACGCATAAACAAATCAACGTATAACTTACAACTCCAACCAATAATACAATATACAAAAAATTAAAGAATAATTAAATACAATCAAACCTAACAGCGTTAGACCTATCAACCCGGAATTGAAACCTTTGAGATATAGCATAATTCTCCATCACCTCTTTCAATGTAGCCTTATCCTTATATACTTGTCCAGCCATAACCTCCCTTTGATTAGTTTTTGAAATTATCAAATCCTTGTCCAGTTCAAACACCCCAATTGCTTCTCCTAAATTGACAAAATCTAGAGCAAGCGTATCATCTGTACCGGAATCATACCTTTGAAGTGATTCATCTATTTGCACAATATCACCTTGAATTAAACTACGATCGGATACAAGTTCTTTTTCAATCATTGTAATGCACAAAGGATACATCCCGAATTCTCTGTTCTTTTTTTTCAATTCTACACACACACTGTAACCCATGTCATTGTGTATTTCAATTGGCGTGCTATTCCCTTCTACTTTGTATTGGATTTTATTGGACTTTGAGCTCAAATCTATGCCCAGTTGATTGGAAATTGACGCAACCAAATCATTATACGATGCATACTCCTTTATTAGTATTCCCTCAATTGAATAATCGACGTAATTGCTCTCATCGTTCCACTTGCCAGAATGACGCAACAACTCTGTTAAACTTGCCATATATACAATGGAATTATACCGTATTTTGTATACAATTGTATCAATCGCACTTCTTCGTGGTTGAAAAGAGAGCTGGGTACAGAAAAAAGGGAGAACTCAAATTCCAGATGTTGCCCTTGTTTTCGCTATTTTTCTTGTTGAATCGTGAAAGGAGGAATACAGATTAATGGGTAATAGTTTTTGTTAGTTGAGTTAAATTAGGAGAATATCAGGTGAATTGATTTCCTTTCCGTTTTAAACAAGTTCAACCTTCCATATTTTACGCGAAATACGTTACTGTATTCACGATAAGGCCGTGTGAATACATTCGAATACATCTCAAGCTTAGCTGGAATTCCCTGATTCACGCCTATTTTTGTTATTGTATTAATGAATACAATAGCTTAAATACATCAAATACATCTTATAACCACATAAAAGGTATCTATAATACGTAACATAGCAAAAAGTATCTATAAATGACTAATTACACCTAAAAAATAGTGCTTTATGAAAAATTCTCTTTAAAAATCCATTCTACTTTCTGCTCTATGTTTTGTACTTTTCCCTCATAGAAGTCTCGTATTTAAAATCATTTTGCTTCCTCCTTCTGCCACTTATCATCTTATATATATATCCTCTCCAAAAGCACACTGTATCTACGCTTTCAAGAAAATGAATAGTCACAACACCTACCTTATATGTCTCTTTTTCCTTGTTATTTTAACCACCTTCGGATTTTCCTTTGCAAAACAAACAAACCCCACCTCAAAAATCCTCAAATTTAATCAATTCTTGAATTCAGTTTATGAATGGAGAATTCAACAGCAGAAACAAGTAGATGCCAATAATCTGAAACTTGGAGCCCCCACTGTGATAGCAGGAGTTTTGTGTTTTATAGCAGCCTCTATTTCTAGTGCAGGTGGAATTGGAGGTGGAGGATTATACATACCTATTCTAACCATTGTTACTGGTGTTGACCTCAAAACAGCTTCAAGCTTTTCTGCATTTATGGTAATGTTAAACTGTGTGATCGTCTCATTTAAAAATTTTATTTATTAAAAATTCACGCTTTTGATTTTAATTATATTATCTCTCAATATAATACAACCAATGTCAGTTTTAAGTCATGCCTACTTGTAACGCATGAGTTCCAATACCAGTTTTGACTCACGCTTCTTTTTAATGCATGAGCTTCTTTTACCTCATGTTTATTCTTAACACTACTGGGTTGTTGTTGTTGTTGTAGTATCTCTCAATATGTCCCATAAGTATGTGCCTGACTTTTTTTTTCTTTTTTGAGTACCTAGAGGCGGAGCTAGGTTTTCAACCTTTTAGGTTTTGAATTTTAAAACGACGACTTCAAGTGCTAATGACTATATTCTAAATTTAATATTTACATATTTAATGAATTTTATAACATAAATATACTATTTGACCAAACGTTATTGGGTTCGATCGAACCCTAGCTCAGCTTCTACCTCCGCCCTCGTGAGTATCAGTGAAATTTGAACGCTGCACCTCTTGCTTGGCACGATACGATATTATCTCATATAAAAGTTTAATCTGAAAGTACACATTTAATTATTTATAGTAATATTATGTCTCACCACGCTCTTCACGTGTGAGCCTGATTTTTTTTTTCCCCAATACTGGTGAGATTTAAACATACGAGACCTCTTTCGTGTTTTAATACAACGTTGAAGAGTGTCAGCATAGAAAGAGCATATTTTTAATTATTTAATTATATTATGTCTCAACAGGTAACAGGAGGCTCGATCGCTAATGTCGTTTGCAGCATGTTTTTACCAAGTCCAAAACATGGGGGAAAGATTTTGGTTGATTTTGACATAGCTTTACTCTCACAACCATGCATTCTTTTGGGAGTTAGTATTGGAGTAATTTGCAATCTTGTCCTACCAGAATGGCTTATTACTATTCTGTTTGTAGTCTTTCTTGCTTGGTGCACTTTCAAGACATTCAAATCAGGAGTTTATTATTGGAAAATTGAGTCTGAAGAAGTGAGGAGAAATGGATTGCTTAAAAATGAGAATTTTGAAGGAATTGAAGGGGTTAATATCAATGGTGTAAAAGAACCTTTGTTGTCGAAAAAGGAAGCAAAGGGAATAAGGAGTATTCCTTGGATGAAAATGGGAGTACTTGTGATGATTTGGTTTTCCTTCTTTTTCCTCTATCTTCTTCGTGGAAATCGATATGGACAAGTATGTCTCTTTATCTTATCTTCACTACTTTTAAATTTACCATTTTACTGGATGAAATTGTTTGAAAGCGAGTCTTGGAGCAACAGTAAAGTTGTTTCTATAAGACATATAGGTTACATATTCGAGTCGTGAAAGCAATCACTGATGCTTGTATCAGAGTAGGTTGCCTATATCATATTCCTCGGGGTTGCGGCCCTTTCCCAAATCTTGCGTAAACGCAGGATACTTCGTGCATTGTACTTGCCTAATAGATGAAATAGTTTGAAGTCGAGCTTTGGAGCAACAATAAAGTTATTTCTATGTGACCTATAGGTTACATGTTCGCTATGGAATCAGCCATTGATGCTTGCATCAGGGTAGATAGCCTGTATCAAACCCCTCAAGGTTGCGCGACCCTTCTTCGGACTCTGCGTGAACGCAGAATATTTGTTGCATCGGGCTGCCCTACTAAATGAAACTGTATCTCAAATTCCTTGCAAAACTAGGTTAATTAATTTCTCCTAATCACCTTTTAATTATATTCTAGTTGTTAGTAGTTATAATTTTTTTTTGTGTCTCCTTGTTTTTTATAAAGATAATTATTTGTCGATGATTTCCGGCAAAAATTGTATTTGCCATTGACAGACTGGAGTTGGTGCCTCAATGGGGCAAAAAGTGGAAAAGTCATTTTACTATCTTAAACCAACCTTGTTGCTTTCTAAATATTAAAGTCACATATTTAACTTGAATTAAATTGTCTTTTTCTTGCACGAAAGGCCAAGAGACAGTATTTAACTATTTATTAAGAAGAGTACATGCATTTCATTTTCATTAATTGTTAAATGGGAACAGAACTTGGTTTGAAACTTAGGAGTTGTCTTATTAGTATTGCTCAAATTCTAGGTAATTTATGTTAATAGACAAATAAAGTGAAGACTGAAGAGTCAGATATGAAATACTCTATCCGTCTCATTTATGCAAATGTGTTATTATTAGAGAAGTCAAACAATTTTTTTAATACGATTTTCTCAAACTCCTTAAATAATTTGAATTCGTATTAACTATGCTGACTTATATTACTTTTCATATATATATATATATATATATATATATATATATGAAGCATTAATATAAGATTTATTTTTCAAAAATGAAAACTTGAAGAATCCACATCGTAAATTAGATACTTTGACCCTCGTACCCTGAACCCTTGCACATACATTGAAACAGAGGGAGTAACTTTTATCCAGCATGCAAAAAAATTTTACATGGCGAAATTAATAACCTGATTAAATTGATAATATGAAAATTTTCTTGTAGTAACTTTTATCTTTTGCAGGGCATAATTCAGATGGAGGCATGTGGGTTGGGATACTGGATTATCTCATCAGTTCAATTTCCTCTAGCAATAATTTTTACATCATGGATCTTATACAACAGAGAAAATAAGCAGAATTCAAAGAAGCAGGTATTTAAAAAAAATATTCCCATTTCCTACCTGATATATATAGAGGAAGTTGAAGGGGAGCCATGGAGTAACAGTAAAGTTGTCTCCGTGTGACCTATAGGTCATGAGTTCGAGCAGTGGAAGCAGCCACTAATGTTTGCATTAGGATAGGTTGTCTACATCACACCCCTTATGATGCACAGTCCTTCCTCCGACCCTACATGAACGCGGAATATTTTGTGCATCGGGCATATATATATACTAGTGAATTTGACCACGCTTCGCGCGATCATTAAAAATATTTTTTGAAAGGTAGATTTAGTAAATTCACCGATAAATGAAAAAGAAATAAAATATAAAAAAATTTTAGTTGTTGATAAGCAAAAAAAAAAAAAAAAAAAGAATTAATCCATACATTTACATCATAAAAACGTAAGAAAGTAAAACTAATATGACAATAAAAACAAAAGCTTTACTAAAAAGAAAATATCATGGTATTCTTGCTTATACACAACTGATAGTCCCAATACAAATCATGTGAATCTTCCCAATTGAAGTTTTGGGAAGCTTTACCTTGGAAGCGATGCACAGTATTTGGCAGCATATAGTATCTTTGTCACTTGGCTTAATTTTGTTATATGTTCATTTATGTCATCCTCGAGCTAACAAATGCATACTCAAACTTTTTCATCCAGTCTCATTGCCGGATGTGGTTAACACTGGCTCTTAATAATTTACATCCTTTGACCTGTCCATAATTTTTAAATACCCATCACAGTGCTTAAATGCAACGTCACATGTATAAAAATATATTACCACTCATAAGCCCAAAGTGAAGAAATTTAAGAAAAAGAATGACAATTTAAGTTGCAATCAGTTTCTTGTACATAAACACATATGGACAACAATGAAAATATCAAATTCTCTACGATTTTGTAACAATTTCTAAAATCATCTTTATTTTGAATTAACCAAATCAATTAACAAATATGAACAAAGAAAAAAAGTAGGGAACAGAGAACGGAGGAAAGAAAGAGATAAATTTTGAGAATCAAAAGTTTCTTTTTAATTCCATTAAAAAGGAATATAAAAAGTTGGCGTTGTAATACGTTGATTTAACTTTTTTTTTTTTACAAGGTATGAGAAAGGTTTGAGTAGAAATAGTCCTGAATATTTATTATTTCATTTGTTTTAATTTTCATTCTTGTTGATGCATAAATGTTAAAACTATTTTGTTGATTCAAGTGATAGTGTTATCCGAAGAATAACCATATAGAAAGCAAAGAATTCAATGGAACTTTAGAGATTTAAGAGACTTTAAATATTTTATGAGAAGTGCAAGGAAACATCAAGGAACATTTAAACTTAATATATATATATATATATATATATATATATATATTTTATGAGAAGTGCAATGGTATTTATTTAAAATAGAAGTATTTCAAGTATCTAAAACATGTAGTGTATTTACTTGTCCGGAAAAAAAAAGAAAAAAAAATTAAATGATAGAAGTCTAAAATACCTTAGCGTAGACTTTTTTTTCGCTCTGACTTTGACGTTAAGATGGCTCAAACCATGGTAAGCAAAACAAAGTTGTTGCAAGAGAAGCCATTCCAATGCCTTGTTTAAGTGCATTCTGGCTCTAGCTCCTCTTTTGTAACTCTCCAAAAAATAACTCATTAGTCATGGGGAAAGGAAACATTTTTTTGCCTTTACTAATGTTTAATACTCCACATTAATCACATCTTCTTTTTAAGAAGGTGACTTTTGAATTATTTAATATAGGACATAAATCAAAAAATAGGCAAAGAAAGTCAAAAAAAGGAGAAAAAAGATAAATAGGCTCCTTGACCATAGAGATGTGCCATGTCAGCATTTTTTCCCCTTCCTTTATATATATATATAGATAGGAAATTAACGTCTTGCAATTTATTTGCTTAATTTGTTGATTAACATTTAAATTGCCTAATTATTGAAGGAAGTAGCTGCCTGTGAAACTAAGAATGGATCTTCAGGAATGTTAATCTTCCCCTTAATGGCACTGTTAGCAGGGGTTTTGGGTGGTGTATTTGGAATTGGTGGTGGAATGCTTATTAGTCCCCTTCTAATTCAAGTTGGAATTGCACCAGAGGTAAATCTTCCCACCAACTACTGCTCTTCTATTTTTGTTATTTCCACTATAGAGTCGCTGAAGGGGAGTCTTGGAGCAACGGTAAAGTTGTCTTCGTGTGATTTATAGGTCACGGGTTCGAGCTGTGGAAGCAACTACTAATGCTTGCATTAAGGTAGCTGCCTCCATCACATCCCTTGGTGTGCGGTCATTCTCTGGACCTTGCGTGAACACGGGATGTGCTTTGCGCACTGCGCTGCCCTTTTTTGTCCACTTTAAAGTCTCCCTTGATTAACATTAGGTGCATTTGGTGTGACGGAAGTCTATTTTTACGAAAATATTTTTCATCAAAAAGTCATTTTGTGATGCTTATTGACCATTTTCCATAACTAAGTAGGAAAATAACTACCCTCACTTATGGCGGAAGTCATCTTCCTTACTACTATGAGCCCGTTTGAATTAGCTGATAAGTATAAGGTGCTGAAAAGCATTTTTAAGTACTGAAACTAATTTAATAAATAAGTAGTTACGTGTTTGGGTACAAGTGCTGAACTTGATAATAAGTTGCTGCAGTATTTGATAAAAAAGTGCTGATAAGCTCTTTTTCTGTTAAAATGACTTAAATAACCTTAGAACTGTTTACACTTATGAGGGCGTAATTTCTTCAAAATTTTAGATTTTAGATCGATTCAAATACAAAATATTTCTTTTGTCATTTTATTTTAAATACAACTGTGTTTAGATAAGATAATTTTATGATAAATATAATTTATTTTATGATAAGCATATAATTTATTTTATGATAAGCATATAATCATAAGTTATAATAATTAATAAATTGACAAAAAATTTTCAGTAAAAAATAAATATAAATAAGACAAATTATTTGAAGAGAAACAAACATTGTCGTTATCAGCACAACACTTAGCAAGCAATATACCAAAAATTTGATATGTCCTCATTTATTACATAAAGTTCAAAGATTAATACACAATCGCATACAGATATAAGTGTATGCAAAGGAATGGAGAATTTGCTTATCTTCAATAGTCAATGAGAAATTGCAGACTTGAAGAGGGGGGGGGAGGGGGAGGAGGGGGGGTTAGGTTGAATACTTGAGGCAGTGAGTATCGATGTTGGAGTTTTGTTCTAAAAAGGAATATTTTAAGATAAAATAGTAAAAATCTTGATCAAACTTAAAGTGCTTATAAGCTAAAAATTCATAAGTTGGGGGTGACGTCCTTATGGCTTTTGGCTTATTTTTGACTTATAAGCACTTTTAAATTTACCAAACGCGTCGATAAGCCGAAAAATGCTTATAATTTTAATTCCATATTACTTGTTCTAACTAACACTTAAACATCAATATTAATCTTTGGTACACAAAATTTTCATTAATATGCCTTCGGATTTGCTCATATTATTTAGTCTACAATTTTTAATATATATGTTTCCAAAAAATATTTTTCACTCAACTGCCAAACATCAAAAAACACATTCCAGGGAAAATATTTTCCTTAAAAAATGACTTCCGTCATACCTAACACGCTATAGTGCTACTTTTTTAATGCGCTTTTTTCACAGCCTGCACCACAAACTATTTATATTTGATAGCCGAAAAAGTGTATAAAATTTGTATTATTTTTGTATGAGTAATTACCTATTTGTGTAGTTAATATAACATACAGAATATATATATATATATATATATATATATATATATATATATTTATATATATATATATTTATATATACACACACAAAATTATGCATTTTCCGGCTATTATTTTGAGAGCGGCTATATAGTGTCATTTTCCCTTATATTTTTTTCCTAGGACTAATTAATGACTTTGTTTTCTAACAGGTAACAGCAGCAACTTGTTCATTCATGGTATTTTTTTCATCTACCATGTCAGCTGTACAATACCTATTTCTAGGCATGGAACATGTCAATACTGCCCTCATCTTTGCAATTATTTGTTTAATTGCCTCACTTATTGGATTGGTTGTGGTGCAAAGAGCTATAGAACATCATGGGAGAGCATCACTTATTGTATTCTCTGTTGGTATAGTCATGGCTTTAAGTATTGTTCTTATAACAAGTTTTGGAGTTGTAGATGTTTGGAGGGATTACACAAGTGGAAAGTACATGGGGTTCAAGCAGGCTTGTTAAAAAAGAAGAAGGGAATATATTGAGAGTTGTGCTAGTTTGAAGCGTTTCCGTGTGAGTCACGGATTCGAGCCATGGAAGCAGTTACTAATGCTTGCATTGAGGTAGATTGTCTACATCACTTCCCTGGGGTGCGGCCCTTCCCTGAACCCTGCGTGATGCTTTATGCACCGGGCTGCCTATTTTTTTTTACTAGTTTGAAGCGTGCTCTAGGTTTTGCATATTTGTGCTCTAATTAAAGGATATTATTAGGTGTTTGACAACATTTAGTTGAAGTCAGAAGTTGTACTAGTTTGAAGCGTTTCTTTGTGAGTCACAGACGTGGAAGCAGTTACTAGTGCTTGCATTATTAGGCTAGGCTGTTTACATCACTTCCTTGGGTACGATCCTTCTCCGAACCCTGTGTGAATGCAAAATGCTTTGTGCGCACCGGCTTGCCTCTATATTTTTTTTTTTTTTACTAGTTTGAAGCGTTCTCTAGGTTTTGCATATTTGTGCTATTATTAGGCGTTTGACAATATTTGGTTTGAAGTTGAAGCTGAAAAAGAGTAATTTCTAGAAATACTGAATGTATTTGAACATGATATTGACTTGAAAAAGTGTTAGTAAAAATTTAATATTTGTGAGTGAGAACTATTATTTCTTCCAATCATTTATTCTCTTGAAATATTTTTCAAATCACTAGTATCCTCATGGAATAAGTTAATAACTTCAAGACTCTAATAACTGGAAGCTGTTAGTTGAGGAGAAATTAGAATGTGAAATGAAGGGTCACAGTTGAAAATGTAGAGAATTACATGTTAGAAAACGTAGAGAACTTGGGAATTAAGAATTTTGTTTTTTTGTAAGGAACGGTTTACATTGTCACTTGTCAGTATGCCTATCCGACTTGAATCTGAATTTGTCGGCTCGATAAATTTTGAATACTGAATAATTGAACTGAAAAAAGGAAGTTAGTTTCCTCGTTATCGTTATAGTTATGGTATAGTACCATAATACCCATTTGCCTCACCATATTAGAAAAACAAAATGTCAACAAAATATTTTGAGAAAATTACAACTATGTACTGAAAGATGAATTGCTAAAGTTGAGAGACCTGACGCTGACACAATTTGATACATAAAAAACATTTGAGTATAGAAATTTTAGTGTCTTATAGAGTTTAGTGTGGAAGTGGGACTATGGGCTCTCGACAACATTACCCAGTTGTTGAAAGGCCCAACATTTAATTACAGGTCAGGCCTTAGTTAAGAATGGGTGCCTTTCAAAATTTAAAGCCCAACACAACACTTTGCATCCCCGCAACTATATTTTTAGTTTACACTTGCATAGCGCAGTCTAAACCGTGAAAAGGGTTGTGGAAAAGCAAGACAAGTGTCGCACTGCTAGGTGAAGCATCTGAATGCCCATCCTAGATGGTGAAAGTCCAGTAGCCGAAAGCAACACTAATTTATGTTCTCACACGACTAGCATGGGGCACGTGGAATCAACAAAGACTACCTTGCAATGCTAAATGCTAGTGGCGTAGCCACATACGTTGAAGGGTGGCCAACCGGACACCCTTCATCAGAAAGTTACACTGTGTGCATAGAAACTTTATTATGTATATAGGTCAAATATTATTTTCTATATGTGTATATTAAATTTTGAACACCCTTCGCGATATTCCTTGCTTCGCCACTACTAAGTACTCATGGGTGACCAATAGCAAAGTAGTATCGTGAAGGAAGGATCGACTCATTTGCCACGCAGATTCTCGTGAAATCTTCTTTCTTCGCCTTCAATTATATCAGAAAATGACTTGTATACTTTATTATGACTGTCCCATATCTTTAGCAATATTGTTATACACCTTTATATATTATTATACAATATTTATACACCTTTACAAACAACGTATCTATCATGTATAAAGTGTATAATAATATATTTTATGTTGGCCCAAGTAAAGGTTAGTTTTGAAGACTGACAAAGGAATTCAGGCATGAACTAGGTCCATCCCTGTTGAGCACAGATACGGACAGACTTGAGCGTGTGGGATGCACGTGAAGGAGATAAACCTAACTTGACAGAATTGATATCTCCTGATATTGATCGAAAAGGTTGCATAATTGATAAGGAGAAGGACTCCTTACTCAAAGAGAACACTGTTCAAGATATGGAATGAGTTAGAGGTTGAGATGAACTAGAACTCTTCCACCAAGGAAGAGTAGCATCAGAATTCTAGTTAATCTTTATTTACTAACTCTATAAATATCAATGTTGTTCTCTTTTACAGGTAATGCACAAACGCAGAAGTTAAACGTGAATTGAGAGCAAAAAAAGCAAGGAAATTTTGCAAGCAGTTCATGTGTGATTCAAGTGTGCAAACCTGAAGCTACATGAACCAGATAGAAAAACCAGTTCCAAGTGTCTGTCTTTTATTCTAGTTCAATTATAGTAGGTGTTTTCATATTGTACCTTTCAGCTTTATTTAGAGGCAATTGTAATAGGTACTCAGAGTACTCAAGTTAGAGTTAACTTGAAGCTGTCGCAATAGTTAGAGGGTGTGTGCTGCAACGAGATTAGAGTTAGTCCTAGGTTTACAAAAGAGCTTTTGTAAATGCAGTTTTTTGGCTCAGTGATTTAGTAGAGAGTTTGAGAACTTTCCGCATTTACTATTTCTGCAATAGTAGGTTAAGGAGCACTTAGAACAACCAGATCCTTCTATAATCAGTTCAAGCGAAAAATTGGACACCACACAAACCACCTCCCCTCTTGTGTGGTATTGAAGTATAAAACATCAATTGGTATCAGAGCGGGTTATCCTTGAAGAGGCTAACACCTTAGGAATAGATCAAGATGAGTGCACCACCTGAAAACTGGGAAGGGCAATCCACTGCTAGGCCTCCGCTCTTTAATGGCCAGTACTACTCTTGGTGGAAAAACAGGATGAGAGATCACATGATCGGAGAAGACTATGAGCTATAGGATATTGTCATTGATGGTCCCCTGGCTAACATGAAGAAGAATGCTGAAGGAGTAGATGTGTCTAAAACAAAAGCTGACTGCAATGCTGAGGACTTGAGGAAATGGGAAAAGAATGCTAAGGCCAAGAAATGGCTTGTGTGTGGACTTGGTCCAGACGAGTACAGTAGAATTCAAAGTTGTACAACTACTAAGGAAATCTGGGACACTTTGCAAGTGGCCCACAAAAGGACACCTCAAGTGAAGAGGTCTAGAGGAACACTGCTGTATTCAATATGAGAACTTCACCATGAAGGAAGGCGAAACCATCCAAGAGATGTATACAAGGTTCACCACACTAACAAATGAACTTAAAGTCTCTTGGGAGGGTTATTCTTGAAGAAGACAGAGTTGAGAAAATTTTGACAAGGGTTCTGCCAGTCACTTGGGAAAGCAAAATCACTGCAATTCAGGAATCAAAGAACATTGTCACTCTTAAGTTGGACGAGCTAATTGGAAATCTCACTGCCTATGAACTAAGAAAGCAAACCATGAAGACGGATGCACCTAAGAAGGAAAGGAGCCTGGCACTCAGAATCACTAAAGGTGCTGATCTTGAAGAGGATGAAAGGGCTATGATCACAAAGGACTTCAAGAAGTATCTAATGAGAGGAAAGAGTTCATCAAGAGGTGCAAGGTACAACAAACAAAGGGTTCCTGAAAAACAGACTAACGAGATGCTACAAGTGTGGGAAGACTGGTCACCACATCAAAAACTGCCCTCAGTGGGAAATTGAATGGAAGAAGGAAAGAGCTAAACGAAGAAACAGGAAGAAGGAACATGTTCATCCCACGAAGAACAAAGGTTATGGTTGCTGCCTGGGGAGAAAGATCAGATGAGGATTCAGAGGATAAAGATGGAGATGAACAAGCACTTATGGCTATTGGAGAATGATGAGGAATCTGAGGTAAGTATAATTCATCTCAAAGACAAGATTAAGTTTTTGTCTATAGAAAGGCTATCTCAGTTACTTATTGATTTCATTGATGAATCTGAGGTTATAAACAATGAAAAGGAACAACTGTCTAAGGATTGTATGATCTTGAAAGCTAAGTACAAAAATCTGGAACCTATGGCCAGTGAAAGTGATAGAAAAAATGCTGAGTTAAAGAACCAGGTTCTTAAACTTGATACCACTGTCCTAGAGCTCTGATCTGAAAATCTAAAACACAAATTAGGAACAGGTAAAAAGAAATTTGATCACACACAACTCACTTTAGAAGAAAACCTAGGAAAAATGAAACATGAGTTGTACAAAAGAGATGAGCAGATAAGAGTCCTAAAGGAGGATCTAAGCAAGGTTAAGCACGAGCTAAACAGAACCTGTAAATGGAATAGGTCCTATGATGCACTTTCATGGATACAAGAACACCATAGTAGCAATAAGAGAGGACTTAGCTACGGGACCCCTGCACCTATGTGGGATCCCAAAAGCAAATAAGTCACACTTCTTGAAACAAAATCTGCACACACTGTGGTAAGACTGGTCATTACAATAGTGAATGTAATGCAAAAGAAAAGGCTAGTCAAAAGAATAAAATATTTGTTCAAGGGAAAAGCAGGCTGCTAGGGTGGGCCAAAAGGAATTTGATTCACCCTTTTTGCCTATAGAAAGGGACCCAACTAGTTTGGGTTCCTAAGACTAATCTCTGATTTCCTTTTGCAGGTCCAAGTGAAGGGGAGCAGCCAAATATGGTACATGGATAGTGGCTGCTCAAAGCACATGACAGGAAGCAAGAACCAGTTCCTTTAACTTGAGGACCTCAAAGGAGGTAATGTCTCCTTTGGAAATGGAAAGAAAGGTAAGATCATTGGGGTTGGAAAGGTGGTAAGATAGACTCTCACTCTATTGAGAATGTCTACATGATAGATGGCTTAAAATACAGCCTAATCAGTGTATCACAACTGTGTGACAGAGGTAACTTGGTAGCATTCACCTCTACCAAATATTTTGTGATAAATCTTACTAGTGACAAGATTGTTTTGCAGGGGAAAAAAG